ACTGTTGACTTTTTCTTAATACCTAGTTATTCATATATAAGTAAAAACTCAAGAGATTGAAAAATAGCTGAGACTGAATAAACTGAATTCTTTTCAGAGCTCTTCCAGACATAGGGAACCACCAAGCTCTAATCAAGCAGAGTAGAAGGGGACTACTTAATACAGATCCCTAGAAAGATCAGACCTAATTATGAGAGTCTCTCTCATGTCTTTATACAATGATGAAGATAAAAAAATTAAAAGCTGCCAAAGAAATAAAAACCATTATACTGAGACAAATTCTCAAAACAGAATAGTGGCAGAGGTCTCTTCAAAAAATGCACATGCTAGAAGTTAATGAAATGACATCTTTGAGATGCTAATAGCAGGAAACCAGAAGGCCACACAGGTCATCACAACATTGACGACAAACATGTTTTTGGACAATGGACCCTATGGCAAGGGAAATAAAAACAAAAACAACAACTGGATTGCTCAAATTAAAAAGCTTTTATACAACAAAAGAAAATATAAATGGGCATCCTACTAAATGGGAAAAATACATATGTAATATGTAAAAATGGTATGTAACCTGCAAGTGGCTAATATCGAAGCTATATAAAAATTTTATATAAGTCAACAAAAGAAAAACAATAAAACTTAGTTAATAAATTGTTAGCAGAACTTAATAAACTAATAAATGGGAAAATCTGAACAATTCATTAGAGAAGATAACCTGAAAGCCAATAGATAAATAGGAATGTACACATCATTACTTCCAATAAGAGAACTGGTTAAAACTGCAATGAGGTATCATTTCATACCATTGAGAACGGCACATCTTAAGCCAAAATAAAACAGAAAACCCTCAACAACTGGAGAGAATGCAGAGAAAGAGGAACCCTATTTGTGCTGTTAGTGGGAATGTAAATTGTTGGAGTCAGCATGGAAAGTAACCTGGAGTTACCTTAAGAAACCAAAATGGAAATACTGTGTTATCCAGCAATTCTACTTTTGGACATCCATCCAAAGAATGGTGAAACAATTAACTCATAAAACTGCATGATCTATATTTCTCCAGCACTATCTATAAAAGATAGGAGACAGAAGTTGGCACAATGTCCAGAAATTGTGGTGTATCTACACTGGAATACTATTCAGTCGTAAGGAAAGACAAAATGCTGCAATATGGAAGTAATCCACTGGATGATGTGCAGTAAAGCAAGTCAGAATGACAAATATTGGACATCTACACAATGAATTATTTGATAAAATAAAATTCTTATGAAAACTAGTAGACATTAATAAGTGAAATGTGGTTTGTAAGGTTAAGAGGGTGAAGGTGAGAAAGGACCAAGGAAATGTAAGGATGGTGGAAGGGAGGAAAAAAATACAACAAGTTCTACTATCAACAAAGAGTTCTGTATCTACTAAAAACACATCTCAAAAATGAAATCTAAATACATTGAAGTATACCTGTAAAAAGAAATGTGAGTGAATTCCTTGAAAAGTTTAGGAGATGGATGGAAATTTATCAATTGAGCACTACTGTAAGAAATCTGGAGTACTAATATTGATATCAAAGTAGTATCTTCAAGTAAATTATCACCATATATATTGATTACATATTAAAATGGTAATTTTGGCTACATTGGTTAAATATATTTTAAATTAATTTAATGCATCTTATTCAATTAATATGAACATTAGATTTAAGGTAATATACTTGACTCACATTAACTTTCTATTAGACTTTGCTGGAGTAGAGTGTAAATAATACAATCGATTTTTAACAGATATCAAATTCAATAGGAAAGGAGTTTTTTCCCCAACAAATGGTACTTGAAAAACAGGATATCCATGTGAAAAGACCTTACCCCCATGCTATGCATAAAAATTAGCTCAAATAGATTATATACCTAAACTATAAAACTCTTAGAAGATTCATAGGAGAAAAATCCTTTCAACCTTATGTATCCAAATATTTCTTAGATATGACACCAAAAAAGTCACAAAACGTGACAAAAAAATTTAAAAGCTCTACATTAAATTTACATATCAAAAGATATGTAAAAACAAAATTATTTATCATATACACTGCTTAAATGTGTATTTGTATTTCAAGATACGTATCTAAAAAAATTCATGTGTGTGCGTGTGTATATATATACACACATATATGACAAAGACTTGGTATACATGATATGTAAAATTTTTAATATTCAATAATCATAAAAAAGCTGACTCATCTGAGGAATTCACATTAAAGCTTAGACCTTAAGGAGAGTAGCAATTACTGAAGGGGTAAGAATTTCTTATAGAGAACAGAATGTGCAAAGGCTCTAGTGCAAAAACATTCTAGAAACAACAGCAATAAGAAGCCAAAGGTCAGTGTGTCTTGAGAGCACAGAACCACAGATGTGTAGAGTCTGGAAATGGAAGCGTGGATCAGAACAGGGTGTACAGATCTGTGTAGTGTTAACATGTACTGTTGGAGCTCAAGGAGATTCCTTAATTGAAACATACTGACATGATATATAACATGATCAAGGTACTCAGATATGCAGCATTGAGCAGAGGAGCAAAAGTGTTGAATACATTCTATATTATTAACCTTAGAGTTTTGTAACACTTTACAATATAGTGCTTACTGATACTCTTGAGATTTAGAGTTTGATTTTTATGTGATTAACATGACTATAAGCAACAGGTTACACATGATTGTGAGATGAGAAGCAATGACATGTATTGAGTACCAACTGTGTGTTGAAAATACTGCTTTTACATTCACTAATATGCACCTCACAACAAATTTATGAGACAAGATGATTTTCCTAATCTGTTAGAATTCAGATTAAAAGGTTAATAAATATTACTAGTCTTGAGTTGGAAATTTGTAACTGAAGTGTCCATCTCTCTAATCTTAAACCCATGATCTTACTGCTAGATTAACTCTACTAGACATTTGAATGGAAACTAAATAAGTCCTCTTAGGCCAACTTGAGAAGTATTTTTGTATAAATTTTACAGCCCTTGAGTGTGCCGCTCATTTGTGAAATATAGGAAGAGCTACAGAAAAGGAATGGAAAAATGAGGTCTTCTTCAGAAGTGACCTATGTGGTAATAAAGAACATTGGTTCAGGAAACGTCAAAGGTCTGTGTTCCACAGGCTTTGAACTAGTGGATTGCTTTTTCAAGACAAATGTTATATTACTTCTCCTGGTCCATTCATTAAAAATATATAAAGAAAAATAATATGCTCATAAAAGCATGAATATCTTGAAAATGGGTGGCAGCTGGAGCCATACTCCTCACCAATGCACAGCACCTGCATCTGTGGTTCAGTGCCCATAAAAGAGAAGGCTACCATTAAGATGGCGATTCAACTTAATGTCAGAGACATAAACCAAAATGACAGCAGCTTTCCAACTTCTATACAGGTCCACGCCATTCTTTACACTCTAATGCCAACCTGCCCACGTACCCTTAAGTGAATATAACTCATCAACTTTTATCTTCTGGTGTAATGTAATATTATGCAATAAAATAAAACTAGGAATTGTTGGAAAATTCATTGTGTAATACTGACCCACCATTTATACAAGATGAAAAATTATCACTGTATTTCTGGAGTAGAGATTGATGAGAATATAATATTCTCAAGTTTATTCTTAAGTCTAAAGAACTCAACAAATTTTTAATATATCTCAAATTAAAAAGGCATATTAGAGAACATTATATAGTTTTTACCAAAATTGCACAAAAATTCCAAGAGGATTTCCATTTAGTTAAGTGCTGAGAGCTCCATAGATAACAGAGGCACACGAGAAATAACTAAAAATGATTATAATGGTTTTAACAATAAAAACTAATTATCATGACCACACACTATGTGTTTGATGTTAATTGCATTTCACACAGTTAATTCTTAACATAATCCCTATGAAGTATTCTTTGTCTCATATTTCAAGTGAAGTAACTTGAAGCATAGGAAGTTATAAAACTTAACTCAAGGGTATGCCTTGTGTAGAACTTAGATAAGCAATATGGAACAAACCTAGAAAAGTTTTTAAATATCTTTGTAGAATTATTAAAAAAAAATGCAGATTTATGGAAGGATAATCCCGTGGGGAAAAAAATTACAGATGTACTAGAATGGAAGGGACAGGAATAAAATGAGGAATGAGAAGTCTCCTGTGGGAGCCGTTGCAATGGTACAGGGAAAAGATGCTGAGTATCTACATTGCACAAAACTGATGGGAGTTTCTCACAGGAGAGCGGTAAGGCACAGAGATGAAACTGGGTAAAAATTTACATTTTAACCATACTATTTAAGAATGTGAGATGCATATTTTAGAAAAATATGTTCTCACAAAAATCTGCTTCAAGTTTTGATTTTATAGATTGTCACATTTTCATTACCTGTCATTTGAACCACTTAAATCCTGGTCAGTATTTGACAAGTGATTATGACATAGTTTCATTACAACTTGCTCTCCAGCTGCTGGCTATTATTTGATAAGTGATTATGACATAGTTTCATTACAACTTGCTCTCCAGCTGCTGGCTATTATTTGATAAGTGATTATGACATAGTTTCATTACAACTTGCTCTCCAGCTGCTGTTTAAGTAAACCCTTCTTTTTCTGTTATTTAATTCTCTAGTTTTTCCCATCTTGCATATAATTTTTCTTTTATCTCTTCATAACCCCTTACTTGTTTACTTTCTAAAATTATGTTAATTCTTTTAGAATTGCTTTGTACTTTCAGATTATTTCCCTCTAGTGTATAAATCGGTTTCATTTTATTCAAACTTTCCTTTAATTTAATACTTCTGAACTTATGTTTGTCTACTTTTTCTTTTTCACCTCCAATACCTAAATAATCAGGTAGACTTTGCAGACTTCTGGTATTAAGGATGATATTTTATAAGTTAATAAACCTAATTTAGAGGATTTAGCAATAAGTTTAATGTCAAGTGATTTCTAAATCAAAATAAGGATGCAAAGAGACTGAAAAAGAATACTTTGAAATACATTTAATTTTAATAACTTTATATGAAATATGAAAGAGTAAATTTAACCAAAGGAAAAAAATTACCAAAGTGAACATTTACAGATTTTTTAGTCTCAAAGCACAATACATTTCTCATAGAAACAAACATCACCATCATAAGTAATACAATATGGCAACATTTATACACAAAGTCATTTTACCATTAAGAAAATCAGTGGCAATGGATACAATACATTAGTTTATCTTTGTTAAACTTTTTACTACTATATACTTCCTGGCCTGCAGGAGTATTTGCCAGGATACAAAAGAAAATGTGTGACCCCAGGTTGAATAATATACATAGAAAACTCATGCTGCCCACATTCACCCCTACATTTACTCTATGATCATAGCAGAGTTTTCATCACACTACTCTGCCTTCATTCCACTACTGTTAAGGCCATTCCCAAGGAATCAAACATTTTAACAAATTGGATATCAAGGAAATGTTTTATACAACGTAAGAAGTGCAATACCAGAACTATATGCCTAAACTTAACAGAAAGGAAATACAAATATAAGTGGGAAATAATGTGAGATTATTTGGAGTAGGTAATGGTGTAGCACTGAACTGGGAAAAGCTGACAGTATTGTTTCTTTCTTTTTTTAGTGTTGATTATTTTTAAATGTATCAGATGATTTTCTGAGGGCCATTCACATTCAATGTTTAGATTCATTTTATTAGTGGCATATACAAAGCACCATACATTATTTAAAATGTAGAACAATGATGAGTATGAAATTAACTGTAGAAATAACTGCTAAGAAAATATAGCATTATTTAACACAGGATTTCTATAACCATGACCTATTCATTACTTTTCCCAAAGCTAATAATGTCCCATGTTTTATTTTACAGACTTTGTCTTTCAAGATTTATATGCATTTGGCACGTTGGGGGAGGAGGGGGGAATTGAAAATAGTTGTTATCTTCTGTACAGTAATGTTACAGTTTTATACAAACTTTAGAAATAAGGCATTCGGAATAATCTTTACCATCTTCTTCCATGTGTTTCATTTCACACAACAGCAAAAACTCTGAATGCCTTTCCTCCTGGAGGGTTCTGTAAACTGTAAAAAATACAAAAAGTATACCAACATCATCTCCACATACAACCCTTCAAATAAATCATGCTTTAAATGACAGGTAAGAAAGCTGTTCTATGAATCCAGATGGTCAAATTTCTTAAGCTGCTATATTATGGTTATTGAAAAGCCTGAGTGAAGCTGACGCAATTTTTTATATCTTGGTTGAATGCTTGAATGCTGAGATCTAAGGTGTAACAGCACTAACAATAGTATTTGATACAGAACCCTGAAGAGTCTAGTTCATATTTTAATATATTTCTTCCTTTGATTCTAATAAAGCTAGGCACCAGTTGTCCCCATTTACTGGGAGAATACTAAGACCCTACTTTATATAGGACTGGGGCTGGCAATGACTAAATGTTAATTGTAAGTTTAAAAGATGGCGATGTTTAAATAAAGCTCTAGGATATTAACTTACCATTTCCTAAATCTGAAAACATCTAATTATATTGTTATAATACGTATTCATATTTTTAACATTTAAATTTTTTAAAAAAATCTTAGCTAGGAAATATAATGGTTAAACCTAAAGATCTTCAGAATTTCTTCTGTGAAATAAAAACAACACGCAATCTCATTTTGGAGGCATTTTACAGCAGAAATTTAAACAATGTAGAATCACCCTGCTTAGTCTTTATTAATTATCTGTATTTTCGTTGGCAATATCAATTCAGCTATGTCTTGTTAAATGCCAAAATGTTAAAACTGATTGATAATGCCAGGAATCATTGTTTATTTTAATCAAATGGTCAACTTTTAATGTCTTCACATTTTTGCATAATGCTTTATTTCCTTAGAAATAAAAAAAGGCTTTTAGATACCAACACAATAAATACTATGAGGAAGACAAAGTATAATTCCTTTAAAAAATGTATTTATGTACAAGCAAAGGGAAAATTTTAGCTTGAAAAAAGGATAAGGGTAATAGAAATGTACATGAATATCATGCACACAATAAACACACACATATACACCAGATTTTCTATAAAAGCAGATGTTAATCAAAGACATTTTCATTTATAGGAAGTGACTGACAGGACACTGTAGAGAGTGAATGTATTTGGCATGTTTCTTCTTTGTATATAGTGACAGACTAAGAAATGCATCCTTGACCTACAGACCAAGTGCTGAACCTGAGCTTTAAGGCTGACTAGTTATATGATGCTGGACATACCGTTTAACCTGAGTCTCAGTTAACAGATCTATAAATTAGGGGCTGTAGAAGCCACTCTATTCAGCTGTTGGTAGAACTGAAATCATATAAAGTGTGTAACAGATTTGGCAAATGCACAGTAAATGCCCCAATTATTATTTTTAATTTTTTAATAATATCATCTACAATTTTATAGTTTCTAAATAAATTTAAGAAATGTGTCAGGTAAATAAAACCACATCACATAATTTTGCCGTTAAGTTACAGTTGCCTATAAGATTCTGTAAGTCCAGAATTTTTTTCTATATTTTCGGAGCCAGAGTATAGAGAAGTTATATTCTCAACAATAATCTCTTGAAATATTTGGAAGTAAATGTTAACAAAAACCTTGTCTTTTTATGAAGATGGCACCCAGTTGGATAAAAGGCAAAACCCTATATGACACATGTCTGCTCTTTAAGAGAATCTCATTTTATAATTTGCATTTTCATTGGCAATTTAAATAACTCAATAAATGTCTAAAATGATTTTTCTGTAGCCACACAAAATAAGTGGGACTTTATATTGCTTCAAATGACCAATGATTTAAAAAAATTACTGTATAGATTCTCATAACTTTAATATTTGATACAGTAAGTCATATGAATTTTTCAAATCACTAAAATGTATACTACTAATGGGTCAAATAACATGAAATGACCTGAAATAGTTCACTTATATTATCCTAGCCATCCAACTCCTATATGAAAAAAAAAAAAAAAAAAAAAAGGCTTGGGGAAAATCAGTCTCATTTTGTCAAATATTTTGTCAAATAACTGGATTAGAGAAATATTCAGTACCTTGCTCATCTAAAAATGTTACATGCAAAAACTAATCTAGGAAATCCAAAAATGGATGAAAGAAATTTCCTTATTGTAAGCTCAATTAACAAAAGACTGGTCTGAGTTGTAATCCGATTTTCATGTTGATTTTTATAAACCTACAAGGACAGGCACCTCTGTACTGCAACTTCTCCCATCCTTGGAAAACCTATTACACAGTGTGCAAAGGAAATTCTGGCTCAGCTGTGAGACTTCAAACCCATGCTAAAGTGAGTTAGTTGTAAAGCAAACAGAGAGGTTGATGGATGTAAATATGTATTTTTTCATTTACCTTTCTGAGAAGATTCCATTCTGAAAAGAGGCAGTGTAAGTCTTTCTTTTGTCCACAGGCATAACATCAACATAACCGCCTTGATTTCTTACCACCCCAGCGTGGACGGCAGCTCTGCAGATACTGGAGAGCTGAGGAGGCAGAAAAAATGGGGTATTATTAGGAAATTCCCACTGAATATATCCAGACAATTCTGTGGAGCTGAAACCAATGACCTGTCTTTAGATGGATAATGGGCCAGCAACCAGGATATTTTGTGTATTAAGGAATATTTCAAAAGTCACAAAGTAAAGGCAATTCTGAGCAAATCCAAAGTCAGATTTGAGGGGTGATATTACAGTCTAACCTAGGGGATATCTGCCTCAGCAAACAGCAGGCTTTTCTATTGTGGAAGGATCAAATGCAAATTAGCTCCATTTAATCCTTCAATGGCCTATTTATCATTCTTAAAGTTTAGCCTTGCTAGTTTAGCAAAGCTATCATTCAGGTTTTACTTAGAAACTAGTCAAAAGGTGGTTCCCTATATATCTAAGGCACTTTGTCCAAAATTTAAGCATATATTCAAATGTTTTCTTTTTTCTGTTAAATAAGATAATCTACACAGAGGAAATATGCCTGAAAAAATTATCACAAGTAGAAAATTATGAGGAAAAACCATTAACTTCTACTAAGATATGAAATGTCCATCACTCCTAATAGAATGATCTGACACGAAATACTAGGAAAATTCTATGACTACATAGTATCAGTTATACAGTAATGAACTGAACGGGATTTCTATGGGGGAGAACATTATTGTTTCAGGTTATACTTTCACATTTTAAACACTACTGGCTTCTAGAAGTCAACTCTTTTCTTTTGTCCCATTCAAGTCTGCTCTAGATTTCAAGGTAAGCTTTAACTCTTCTATCAAAATCTGTCAACAGCTAAGTATAGCCTCAGGCAATCCCACAATATGAAACGCCTGAACTGTTTCAGCAAAAAACAATGCAACTCACAGTCCCACAGGTCTTTCCTGATCCTACTGGCATGTTCTTTTCTTATCTCTATGCACAAGCCAGAGACTTAATGTGCTTTTTTTAAGTTCACTTAAGCATTGCATCTTACTTGACCTTGCTTTATTGCTGTGCTCTCAACTCTGGTATCAGTCAGGATTTATTAAATCAGAGAGTCCAAATGCTAGGCTGTTTAATCCTTTTCATGTTTTTGCTATATCACAAAATACCATATGTACAAAACCACATGTCCTTATTCTAAGGAAGCATCTTACTCACCATTTAACACTCCTCACTGAATTACTATTTGAACTTAATATGGCTCATAATAGATGGGATTAAAAAATAATTCTGTTCACATTCCAGTATTTATTTTATTTTGTTAAAAGAGTATTCTCAGCATTTTTCCCAAGGCAAAAAAGTGCTTAAATATAACAATTCACTAAATCCAGGCATTTAATATGCTTTGAAACTATTGTTTTGTCCATAACTGTGTAGTCAGCAGGCATTCCTACCTGACAACAAAGTCAGAAGAGATTTTCTTTCCATGCCCAGACTTTATAAGATTACTATATCATGAAAAGAAAGAATAATTTATCTGAAAGCAATGGAATATTTTTAATGAATGCAGAAATCAGTTCCATCTATAATAAATGAGAAATAAAAGTTCAAAGTGATAGAATGTTCAAGTTAGTATTCTATAAACGGAAAAAGACAGACAAAGATAAGGATGGAAAGAGAGGAGGACGGCTGACAGCTACATCCTCATCTGCATCTAAAAATCATTTGGAGGGGTGGGGAGATTGTAGCTAATGGTTGAATCTCTGACTATGCACATACCATACAATAATGATCTTTATATTTTTAAATTACTCTTAAAGATGTACATACTAGTACACTTTTTTTTAAATAGTTTTATTTATTTATGCATTCAAGAACTGGCTATATGCCAGAGATTTGGGGGTGAGAGGACTCATGAAAGACAGAGTAGGGAACAGAACAGGAAGATGAACCCAAGCACACTGCTGAGGGAAGCAGCAGGCAAGACAGGGGAGGTCTGCTGCACCATGTGGGTCACCTACTTGGCCGGGGATTGAACTCATGCCACAGGGCTGTGGACAGCTCCACAGTGTTGCGCCGTAACCCCTTGCACTACCAGGGAGTGCCCAATACACAGTTATTTATCCATTTCACTGGAGTGGAAAGATAAAAGTGATCTCAGGCTGTTTGTTCTAATATCTAAAATCTTAAACCATGAAAAAAGATGGCTTAGAGGCCTAGATTTGTAGAAAGTTTTGAAAGATTTCACTATATATGATTAAAATTAAAAGTTCTGGTACTTAAAGGGATAATTTGGAAAGAATGATGCCTGTGGAAATCTAGCAGATCTAGATATGCTCTTTCATATACAATAGTTATATGAACGATATTTGCTTCCTATCTGATCTCTCGTGTGCTGAAGCAAGACAAATGGCTGTCTTATTTAAAGAATATATCAAATTACTAATGAAAAAATGATGCATGAAAAGTCAAATTGTTGCCCTTAAGGAATTTAAAAATTAACAACAACAACAACAACAAAAGATGGGGAATCACGAGGCCTTCCTGGTGGCATAGGGATTAAAGTTAGCACTATCAAGCTATCAGCAGCCACTGCAACATTAGTTCGATCCCCGGCCAGGGAGGTGATTCATATGGCACAGCAGACCTCTCCTGTCTCACCTGCTACTCCCCTCAGCAGTATATTTCAGTACATCTTTCTGTCTGCTCTACACCCCAGTTCTTGTTTGCATAAATAAAAGGGAATCTTTAAAAAAAAAGATGGGGAATCAGAATATCTAACAGAATTGGCTAAGTGCTAAAACAAAAAGCAAAGTAATAAGGTTAAGAGAAGGGCAAGGGCACACATATTCAAAGAGCCAGCAATACAATACACAGAGAAAGTGGCAATCATGCTGGATGTACAGAATGGCCAGTATGAAAAATCAGAAAAGGATGTTTCAGAGACAAGAAGATACACACAAACTAGAAGACTAGCATATTAAGATGCCAGCTGGACACAGGCTGCAAAAAAAGAATACTGCAAAGCTGGAGCTTGGAAGAAACAATTTAAACAGTAATTTCAAAGGTAAAGAAAACTTTAAAAAAAAAAAAAAGCTCAACTAAATCTAAATGAGCTCACTAACAAAGAAATAGAACAGTAAATAGAACTATAGCATTGTATAGTACAATCAAAATTATATTTCATGTATTTCTTATTACTTTCTGGCTTAGATATCGGTAATAGTTTTTAAATGTCTGCCACATAAAATTTAAACTCAGCAGCATGCACTCAGATTCTCCATTTATATTTCACACAAGAAAGCCTGTAGCTTCAACTCCCATCAGTTTAGAAAAGCAAAGCCTGTGCTAGGCCTACATGAGGTTCACTTGTTCTCTCCTCCCTACCTTTGGAGATGCTTTTGACTTATCCTACTTATCCTATCCTTAGTCTTCTTTACCAAATCACACTCAGAATCTGGCTCCCAAAGTGTGTAAACACTGAAGTCATCACAGCTAATATTCCTTATCCAATCTCAGCAGTGCCTTCCATTACACCATTCCCTCAACTAGTTTCTTTTGTATGTATTTTAATGTTATCTGTTTTTTATTCCATGCTACTTCTTAAATATCCCTTTGGCAAATAAAATATTGCTCACATATTTGATAAATTCTTAATTGTTAAGCGTATACACAGAATACTGCAGAACCAGTAGAAAGATTAAAGAAAAGCAAAATAAACTTTTCTTTCCAACAATACATCCAGACCAATCCATTACATATCTGATAAAAGATATATGGAGAAATAATTAACACAGATAAATTACTATGCACTCATTTTCATAAATGTTTTTTCACTATTACTTATGACTACCACTTCTAAGACTCTGTAATCAACACAATCTGTTTCCTTATTATGAATATTTCTTTATTCTGAATATAAATGTACACGCTCATTTGAATGTGGATACACACACAAAGTAAGAGCTACATAAATTATGATACTTACATCTGAATAAACTCGAGTTCCAATTACTCGAGCGTAATGTGGATTTGCCTGCATACAGTTGCGAGGACAATAGACTCTGAAAAAAATACATAAATAAAGATAAATACTAAGTGCTGGTTACTTCAGTCTCTCTTATTAGTAAAACTAGACATACACAAACAAACATAACTGCAGCATTCTAAACTCAAGGCATTTTTCTTTCTTCTGAAATAGATCGGCTGACTAGGACAGGTAGTAGACACAACTGCTTCTGCTCATTTCATCCACTTCCAGTTTTGGGGGGACAAATGTTTCTTTTTTAAAAATTAGTTCTCTAATTGGGCAATTTAAGGCAGAAAGAAACATTAGAAGTATTACTAAATATCTGAGAATCAGTACTTACTGGGTGTATAAAATGTTATTATAGAACAGATGACATGAAAAAATTGGACCATTGCCTATTTCATGTACCCTAGTTTCTTCTCTGAACATTTGGTAACTTCAATTTCATGATTTTAACTATTATCCATACGTTATTGATTTCCAAATTTCCATAGCCAGTTGGGACCTCTTTCTCTTCATTCTAAATCTGCATGTCCTACTGGTTATTCAACATCAACACTTAGATTTAAGAAATATCTCAAATTTACCATATGACACCTGAATCCTAACCTTCCCCAGTTCCCAAATCTGTCCTTTCTGTAGGCTTCCTGTAATAAATTAGAACTTCATTTTTCAGGTGTTCAGGTCAAAAACTTTATTTTTTTTTAATCTCTCTCTGTGTCACACTGTTTAATCAAGTTACCAGTAATTTTCTATTGGCTCAGCATTGAAATATATAAAAACCAGAGCATTTTATCATAGTTTTTTTTTAATATATAATATACTGGATCATCAAAACACACACACACACACACACATCCATGCACTAAGGGAAAGCAAACATAATTCATTTTATATATCAATCTCAACAAAATGACTACACAAAATCATTGTTTGATGAAGACATCAATGATATTTTGAATAGTATTCTTAGAAAACTTATATTGCCAGTACCCTTAAGAAATTAAAGTTCTTCCATAAAAAGACTTTTATATTATTTAAATAACCATTGACCATAAAATGTTCTCCTTGGATTTAAGAACTATTGGAAATTCACTGCCCATCCTATGGAAGTAAAAACCCCAGCTCTTTGGTTCATGCTGTGTGGGCTCTACCTAGAATTTTGTCTATAGAAGGCATCATTAGTTACCATCAGTAATTCCAAAATGAGAAAGTTTCCATTCCTGAATTCCAGGTGAGTTTCAGGTCAACAAAAGACATCATTTATCTTGTTTTATAGTAGATAAATTCCATTATAATACTTTTTGTAAAAGAGCATTCATTAGATTTATCTGAATTAGGAAATGGATGATAGTCCTAAAAAATATGAGTTTTGTTATTTTAATTTCCACAATAAAGACCTGTTAAGGCCAGATTATTTTCCTCTACTCTGCCCCCAATGAAGCTTCAACTCCAAGAGTCACTGTATTTCAAGGTAGGAATTTGTGGTGGAAATTAAGGATAAATGATCATGAGGGTGGAAGTCTGCAGAAACGTTGCCTCAGTTCCTCTCCCACCACTGTGAGGACACAGAAAGAAAGCCAAGTGCAACACGCTGGAGGTTTTAAAGAAATCAAATCTGCTGACATTTTTACCTAGGACTTTTAGCCTCAATGAGTGAGAGGATATCTAGTCCCTATTATTTTATTATAGCAACCTGAGCAGCTAAGATAGAACTCTTTACAATGCATGTGAACATGCACAGCATATGCACAAATCCTGCTATTATGCAATAGCAAAACGTACTCTGGCATTTGGAGACAAAATAGCTGAGATGTCTGGAGTACCTGGAGTTAATGATGCCCCGCTGTTTTCCTGCTGCTTAGCAGTTCAAGATGATCTATCCTTTGAGTTTAGGGATGCCAGAATTTCAGGCAAAAGCAGACATTGTGGGGTAAGGGCACCATATATGTTTACTGGCATAAAAACATGAGAAGAATTAGAAAATGTTACCTTGGGCAATGTGAAGCAGGCTTATGAAATGGACATAGTTGTTCGACAGTTGTTTCACAAGTAACAGCCTGAACTGAAGAATTAAATAAAACACAAAGCAATAAGCAAATCCCTTGGAAACAGCAACATACAATATAGTAATAAGAAAAAATAAAGGTGAAAAAAGTGCTAACCTGTTACTTTAGAGACTGTGAAGGAATTAGCAGACTGATATTTGCTGAAGATAAAAACATAAAAATCAATCATTTCTTATATGCATCATCTATATAAAGTTTGTTATGTTGATGTTTATGACTATTTTATTTCACTTTTTCTTATTTAAATATCTAGATATGTAATAGTATAAGAATACTTTTGTCCCTTATACACTAACTCCATATTACAAGACTAAACCAAATCATTATCATTCCTGATATTACAGGATGATCGCTTATCACTATCAATCTCCAAAACATACAAAAAATAGCATAAAACAATATACAGTTAAATTTTATATTTATTTCCTATTAAAATTAAAACCTCCAATATACTAGGTATATTCTGTGTTATGGAGCCAATTGATTAAATTTTTCATAACAGTAAACCACAATAGTCATATACACTATTAAGAAGTATCTTCAGGGAGTGCGTTTTGCTCATATTTTCACTCCCCTTATTACCGAGTAAATGACCATAATACATAAATGAAATTTTCTTTATTATATGCATTACTTAAATAGCAAGAATGTAAGAATGGGCATATCATTAAATATTAAAAATTTAATTTATGTATATCCAGATGTTCAGGAAAAACATTTACTGAAAAAGGTAAAGTTTATTTGTAATGGCACTTTAAATGATACAACCTTCAAGTTTTAAGACTTTCAATAATAAATATAATCAAAAGCTAAGGAAAGAGAAAAATATCAAAATATATATTCTTTACGCAACATTCAGTGTTTGGCTTATTAAACTAATAACCAATATTTTTATTTATTAAATAGCTAGTAAATATTTGTAGACTAAGTTAATCAACATTTTCACAAAGCCTTTATTTAAGACAACAATCATTAGTAGCTGAAAGCAATATATCAAGCCCTTGAAGGAAACTGTGCACTTAGGAGATAATTCTACTAATTTGCAATGTCTTTAACAAATTCTTATTAAGAATTTTCTTCTGTACAAGTTTCACACAATTGTAAAGTTATAAAGAAAAGAGACTATGTCATATCTTCTAACTAAAACACTCCCTATGAACTTCATTGTTTTGTAAATTGAAGAGATACTACAAAGATATCTAAGAGTCACTATATGACTACTTTCACTGAATGTATAAGAAAATATACAGTATATCACAATCATAAAATTAACAAATTTAATGAGAAACATTTAAAAAATTAATCAATCAATACTTTCATTTGGGTTACAATACATTTACATGGACAAAAGAAAGGTGACAGGGTATATCACAGATTTAGAGAACTTACCCAATTGTTTGAATACCATTTCTATTAGATTTGATGAAATAGTGTTTTCTTCCTTGTCTAGTGATATCTACCCAACCACCATCGTTGTCTATTATGCCATAATGAATTGCAGCTCTACAGATGCTGGATTGCTTGTAAAAAGGAAGGGAGAAAAGGAAGTTAAAATATTAAAGAGTTATATCCAGGACAACACAAACACTGTTTGCATGACTTTAAATAAACATTTCTGAGAAAAGGGCAATATTTATATAAATTGTTATTTTTCACATTAAAAAAATCACATTTATATGAAAGAACTCGATCCTCAAATAACACAGTTAATAAACTTACCATTTCGTAATGCACACTGCCTATAACTTTAGCTTTGCTATCCAAACAGCCAGCAGGGCATTCATATCTAAACAAAAGATGGGAAGAAAATTAGCTTCTCTGAATTTAAGTATAAAATGTAAATATCTTAGTATTTTGTCAGTTAATTTTGAGGGTAATAAAAATTACCTATTGCAGGTTGTTCCTTTGCACTGATCTCTTAATCTTACTTCACAAGAAACAATTTGGGCTAAAAAAAATTAGATAATATTAAAGCTGCTATAATTCATCACAAAAAAATTTAATGTAAAAGCTATTATAATTCATTACATAGAGCTTTTCCATCCTAAAAATATTTAAATTAATAAAATAGAGTAGGGTATGTCATCTATGTAAATTTCTGTAAATAATGCAGAGGTCTTACACATTTGCTGTGTGCTTACGACTTCATTTCTGTTACTATCATCTGCTCTTGTCCGCATGTGGGTGTCATGGACTTGTGACTGCTGCCGTTCAATTTCATTTGTTTCTTCTTCTCGAGGAGGGTAATACCTGTCTGACCCCTCTGCTAGACAGAATGGACTTAATTAATATTAACCCCATCTTACAGGTACATAAATTAATACATAATCTAGGTTAATATGGCTTTCATGCTTTTAAAACAAACATCAGGAATGCCATTATCACAGGTTTTAAGATGTTGACTTAAAAGATTTAACTCCTTTATTTTTGCTACATCTAGCTAATGTAAAATGGAGATTCTTTTAGCTTTGCTTATATTTCAATGTGGGATCAGTGATTGCTTTTCATAATGACTCTGAGAAAGCTACAGTGATCTAATGAAGTAATGTGAACTTGAATTTGCTTTCTAAATAAAACATTTTATTTTTAGGAGATCACATTTAAAACACTCCTTGAATGAAATCTGATCTAAAGAAAGACTGACATGCCCCTGTGATTTATTACAATATCAGTTTCCATGGAAAAATTTTTCTTTTCTACAAGGAAATTCAATTTGTAAAAATTTAAATTTAACAATATAGAATAATTTCAATCTTTGAATGTAGTATTTTTTACCTAACTGGCTTGACAGTGGCACATTTTGGAGAATGCTTGTTTTCATGTGTGCCCAAGAACTTACAACCCATGGAAAAGAAATACGAAATCAGAAGGAAATCAATTTTTAGTAAAATACAGTGGCCACTGGTAAAGAGAAGAAGGGTGAGTTATGGGAGTAAAAAGGATGTAAGATAGACATACAGTTATGAAAACTGTTGGAATGTATCTATACATTAAAACTAGCTCAGATAACAGAGTGAAATATATAGCTAATTAGCATTTAGTCTTTAAGAAAACTATTAATAAACACTTCTTATGAGTGTGGGAAAAGGTTGTATGCATTCATATATCTTCTAGTATACTTAGTTTGCACTAATTTACATTTAGTTGTCATTAACAAAAAACTATAAAGGAGTGACAAGTTCACTTAGATGCCAAAAAAATATGACCTCTCACAAAATTTTGCCATATACATTTTAACTTCATGTGCTATATATAAAACACCATATTTATATATACATTTTTTTGACATTTGAGAGAACTTATAATAGTTTTGCAATATTATACTTTTTTTGGTATTTTGGCATGAGAAATGGTATACCCACAGTGGGAAGCGAAGAATCAGAATTATTCATTGAGCATGGTTCATAAGATTCATGGATAAGTATTTTGGCAAAAACTTTTACACTGCTAAAAATAAATTGTGCTAAATTGCTAAATCCTTCAAAAATGATGACAGTTATGGAAATAACACTAGTCAACCAATTTGTCAAACTGGTTTTTAAAAGTATAAATATACTTGTTATTCTGGAATAATTTCAAGATGGAATTAGAAGTAGTTATCTGGAATGATCATGAAATGTTTTTTAAAATACTGTTGGGAGGTCTCCCTGTTGGCACAAAGGGTTAAAGCACAGTATTATGAAGCTATTCACAGCCATTGCAGCATGAGTTCGATCCTCTGGCAAGGAGGTGACCCATATGGCACAGCAGATCTCTCCTGACTCACCTGCTACTCCCCTCAACAGTGGATTTCGGTCAATCTGCCTGTTCTGTTCCCCACTCTGTGCCTGGTGAGATTCCTACCCTCATCACCTCTGGCCTGTAATCCAGTTGTTGTATGTATAAATAAGTAAATCTTTAAAAAATAAAATGCACATTGGTATAACAGACTTACTAATATAAGTATTTAAAGATATTTTAAATGCCTTCTTCAGAATACTTGAGTTCTATAAACTATTCATGTAATAAATAGGTTTTGGGTTTTAAAATAGCAATTGATGTATAAATTGGATCAAAATATAAAGCAAATTGAGTATTACAGCACAGTAGCACATACCTTTGTAGCAAAGATTTTCTCTACAGCCCCCTCCAAAACTAGGTGGGCAAGCAGAACAGGGACGACCATGTTTATAGGGTGCGTGGCCCCACCAGTTTCCTCTTAAAGAGATGAAACACTTGATAAGAAGTGAGCCTAACAGCATAATTTACAAGACACTGCGAAATACTAACTACTATCATATCAGAATTGTCTAAATAATGATTTTGGTGTGTAGATATCACGCATTATATTTTTTATCAGAGTCCTTTTGGTTACTAGATTTAAAGAGAAATTGATGCTTCATTCTCATTAAAATATAAATGAATTTGTGAAGTTCATTGTTAAAAATTACAAAGTCAAACTTTTGCAGAACTTTGTATTTGCTATGGGATATTCATATATAATTCATTTGATATAGTAAAACAAAATTCAGACAGACTAAGTATGACTATATAATATTTCTCAGTTAATCTTTGTTTGCTAAAAGCTCTAATAAGTCAAAATACCTAATGATATGTGCAATGAGTAAAATGGAGGCATACAAATATGATCCAAATATTCACAAAGATATTTTAAGCTTTCATATTCCCTGAGTGTTCTGATTTTATGCAGCAGGCAATCCGAGTTAAAACAACATACTTTACTCAACAAAAATAAGGGAGAAAGTCAAGAATATAAAGATTTTTTTAAGTTGATAGAAAAATTTACATATGGAAGTAATATTTTGTCTACTCACTTCGGGGAATAATTGCAAACCAGGTAGACAGCTTTGGGCCATATCTGCCCCCAGATGTTCATGTTATGGCATAAATTAATGGCACAGCCTATTCTGCTACTTGTTGCCCATACCACCTACATTAGAGAAAAAAAAAATGCTCAGAAAAAGAAGGCTGAAAGGAAGACAACAAATCTTACAAAAAAAGTGTATAAAAGTAAACTTAAACATCATTCAAGATGAATGATGGGATGTGTAAAATTCAGGTAAATAAATTATTGTATAAATATATGAGCATTTTAAAAATACAAAATACTGGGCCTCCCTGGTGGCACAGCGGGTTAAAGCACAGCACAGAGAAGCTTAAGCCACTTCTGCATGAGTTTGATCCCCGCCTGCCCGAGAGGTGATCACATGGCGTGGCAGACCTCTCCTGACCCGCCAGCTGCTCCCCTCAGCAGTGTACTTCGTCGATCTGCCTGTTCTGCTCCCTACTCTGTCTCTGGTGAATCCTCTCACCCTCCGCATCTCTGGCCTGTACCCCAGTTCTGTACGAATAAATAAATAAATCTTTAAAAAAAATACAAAATACTAAGTAATTTATAAATTATATTGTGATAATCCTGGTGATTATATCAATGTTCCCACAAAGAAAATTACCTAACAAAGGACCAGAATTAATCATCTCATACAGGGAGTACTAGAACACAATTTAGGTGTTCAAATTTCTTATGTAATGTGATAATTTCATTTTGCCACTGATTTTTTAGGTATTCAATGCTGATTTCAATCTCATTACATTCAAAGGCACAAAGAACAATTTGACTGCTTTATATTCACTAATAAATGGCCATAGAAACTCATGAGTGGTGTGTCTAATCAAATCTGCCTTTAGTTATTTGACTTAGGAATTACTGAATATCAAATGTGACTACTAAGTACTTCTGGGAAGATAAATACTGCATGCATATAAATACTGAATGTCCTTGTTTTATTCTTTGGAAAAAAAATAATGGCAATTATTTTGAAAGTAAATTTCTTCTCAGTTCACATTTACTAGGGTCATAATAAAATAGTTTCATATACAAAATCACAGAAATAATGTTTTGTTAAGTAGATGCTTGGATATTTTTTTACAGTCATTTTGTTATCTGTAGACATCTGCAAGCCCATTCTATATAAATCAGTAACAATATGACTTTTTTAAAAAAAGGGTTACCAAATGATATGACATAAATTCACTACTTTGGCTCTTTTACAGATACACAAACTCAATTTAGAAGAGTGAAGTATAATATACCCAAACCTACCTGTGTGTAATGAGTACATACAGGACCAGAACACCTGAACGGACAATATGGGTTGCATTCATGCTCATATGGATAGCTGAAGTCTCTCACTTCATCATACCATGCTTGCACATGAAATGTTGGGGGTCTGTATCTATTTGAAAGAAAGTTAAATACAAATAACAAATGAAGTTGGAGAAAATGCAAAAAAAAAAAAATATGGCAAATAGATTGAGAAGGTTTAGTAGGGACATACTGTTGTGGATATTATTCATAAATACTTAAGTTCTGCAGATTATTGTAGCAACTATTTAAAATCAATCTAAAATACTGTGATATAGAACTTAAGTTGTTTTTCTTTTACACATCAAGGCTTTGAAATTTTGAAATGATGCATTGATTAATATTTCACTAACACTTATGTTTTCAGAAACAAAAAGTAACACTTTAAGCACCTTCCCCAATGTGCTCCCAAATTCTGTCCAATTGATGGAAGCAAGTTAGAAGGTCCATGTTCCCACACACAAGTTTCGGCCCAGGATTCTGCAGATCTTTCCAGCTCTACATCCCATGTCTATAGTTCAAAACAAAAACAGAACACAGACACAAACATATGATATATGTGAAGACTGAACCTATCTTCAGTATATAGTGTTGCTCAGAGTTTGTTTTGTTTTGTTTCCTTCTTACCTCTTTACAAAGTCAACATAGTGGTTTGGGTTCTCATCCAGATTTTTATCATAGCCTCCTAATGACTCTCTTTGCCTCCATCTCATACTCCCCTCACCTGCACCTCAAGTATTTAGTATTACCTAAGTGAGCACAGATAAGCTTAAGGGATTCCTTTGTCTAAGCATATCAAATAAATCCCCATATACATGAGGGCCATGATACCTGGTCCCAACGTTCCCTATCATAAAACATGCTTTCCATGCTTTTGCTGACATTGTGTTTTTAGTCCAAAATATCCTTGTCCCTATTTGTCGGACAGATCCTACCTTTTCTTCATAATTCAGTTTCAAATATATTCTTTCAATTATAAACTATCCCCTGCTTGAGGCACTTTATCATTATGCCTTTTAACAGCAATTACACTGCAAGGTTAGTATTCATCCACAAATCTTGTTCATGAATTGCTTAGGGGCAGATACTCAACTTACACTGGGCTTACATTTTTGGTTTATTTTCTATGGACAAGATGATTAATAAGTGTTTTTCTAATACATGAGTAATTAATGAATTTGGTTCCTATCAAAATATAAACACATGAGAAGTTGTATATATCACTTATCGGTGACAGTTCACTCATATTTTAAAAGTAATTTATAAATAAATGTTAAAAGTTACAAAGTTACTGAAATAACTTTGCACATCCTAGGTTTATTTATTTTTATTGAACTCACTGCACATAGCATTACAGAAGTTTTAGGTATGTACCACTGAAGTCAAAATGGGTATATGATATTCCAGTTATTAGTCAAAAGAAGCACGGAGTAAATGTGGAAGTAAAGCCAGTGTTAATTAGAACTGAATTCTTTCTCAATATATTTTTTTAAGATTTACTTACTAATGCATACAAGAACTGGGGCACAGGCCAGAGGTGTGGGAGATAAGAGGATTCACCAGAGAGAGAGAGGAGAGCAGGACAGGCAGATTCACTGAAACACACTGCTGAGCAAGAAGCAGGCAAGCAGGTGAGGTCTGTCACACCATGTGGGTCGCCTCCCTGGCCAGGGATGGAACTCGTGCTGCTGTAGCTGTGAATTGCTTCATAATGCTGTGCTCAGCCCACTGTACCACTGGGCGGGGGGGGGGGGGGTTTATTTGCATCTCAGTATTTTCAATTAAAGGATTCTGGGAATGTTAATAGGGTAGGAAAACAGACTTGCGACTAAAACATAAGGAAATATGTTAAGGTGATAGCAATGAGTGTAAAGAGCAGACAGACTTACACAATGTTTAGAAATTTGAAATCCTATTATTGGATGGATGACTTTAAGCAGGTGATGGGGGTAAGCAGAAGATTGGTAAGACTACCAATCTGATACAAAAAATTATAGAAATAGATTGACAGTATGTGTCTGTGTATTTCTATATGTAATACAAGAGTGATGTGTGAGGTGAATGATACATATAGCACCTATGCCATGTGAAGAGTAAAATTATCTGACTGGGGAAGAGCTACACTCTGAAATTATGGGTTTTGAAGATAACACTTGGGATGAATTTCCTCAAGAAGACACAGAATGAGGGGAATAAAAAAAAATTGGGGGCTATGAAAATGGAAGAGGAGAAAAAACAATGAATTAGTACAATAAAATGGAAAAATGAAATCAGAAAGGTTAAGTGAAGACTTAAGTTACTGTAGTGATGGGACAGAGTATAAGCACCAAGGTCAAATGTGAAAGAGAAGTCAAGAAAGATGAGACATGCTAAGTAGTAGTTTATGATTAAGAAAAATTTCAGCTCAATATTAAGTGTACAAATCAGAATATAGAGGGTTATTAGTGAATGTGAAAAATGCAGACAAAGCAAATATAGAAAATTTTTAATACTTTAAGGAAAGGTAAAAGCTTAGAAAGATGGCAGGGTCTAGCAAAATTTGTTCTCTTGCTTTGATTTTTATAGGATGGAAGAAACCTAATCATGATTACAGGCAAAAGGAAAAAACATTATGGAGAAAAAAGCATTTAAAAATTTAAACCTGGAGTATGTAGGTGTAGGGAGGGGCAAATTATTTATTTATTCATATAATTTTTTTATAACTGAGCGTTTTTGCTCTTTCAGTAGTAAACTTGAAATATACCATGTTTTCAAAGCCAAAAAGTAAGTCATACAAAGTTAGAGTAAGTATATTCTTATGACAGTGATACCATAATCTAGCAAGATTATGAGTACTTTATATGCAACTAAAAAATTTAGAGCAGTAAAAGTAGCTGTTTTTCATACAAGTTTGAATTTGGGGATTAATATCTACATTCAAGATGATTGTTTTTGTGACACAGGTTATCAGAAATGTTTGCTATAAATATCATTTATGTACTTGATTTGCCAAAAAATTGGCATGCTGTTAAATTCATTATTTAAACAAGACCTTCATTTTTAATATAATTATAAACAGGTATTTTTTAAGTTGTTGTCACTAATTGCTTAAACATATTAAGTAAGAAACAAAGAATTTGGCTGAAGTCCCAGAAAATGAGCAAGATACTAATCTCCTGTATCCAGAAGACTGGCAAGACAGTTATCCCTCAAAAGCAAGCAGGTTTCCAGGTAGAGTTCCCTGGAAAGTAGATCTTAAAAGACAACCAAAATCGTGTCATCAACTTTGGAAATCTTTTTCTTACAGTTCTTTATTTACACTCACCACAAAACTAAACTTATCCATTTGTTCTCATGTAATAATCTCATACTCAAGAGCAGACAAGGACGGGGGGGAGGGGGGAATATAAAGTTTGTAAATAAATGGCTTTTAAAAAGTGATGTCTTCGGGCCCTCCATGGTGGCGCAGCGGGTTAAAGCACAGCACTAAGAAACTAAAGCTACTACAGCATGAGTTCGATCCCTGCCTGCCCCGAGGTGACCACATGGTGTGGCAGACCTCTCCTGACACGCCCGCTGCTCCCCTCAGCAGTGTACTTCGTGGATCTGCCTGTTCTGCTCCCCACTCTGTCTCTGGTGAAGCCTCTCACCGTCCCTGCACCTATGACCTATACCCAGTTCTGTATGCATAAATAAATAAATCTTTAAAAAAAAAAGTGATGTCTTCATCTTAAAACAACTAGCAAACAACAAATGTTGGTGAGGATGTGGAGAAAAGGGAACTCTCCTGCATTGCTGGTGGGAATGCAAACTAGTACAACCACTATGGAAAACTGGAGGTGTCTCAGACTGCTAAAAACGGAGCTTCCATACGACCCAGCAATCCCACTCCTATGTATCTACCCAAAAGACACAAAAACACTGATTCAAAAAGACACCTACACACCCCATGTTTATATGACTGGATTAAAAAGATGTGGTACACATACACAATGGAATACAACTCTGCGATCAAAAAAGATAAACTCATGCCTTTTGCAGCAACATGGATGGAGCTGGAAGCAATCATGCTTAGTGAAATAAGCCAGAAAGAAAAAGAAAAATACTAGATGATTTCACTCATAGCAGGAGCATAAAGGACTGGGGGGGGGGGAAATATAATAATAAGCAATTATATACCAGAGACATTTTACAGGGGTGGAGTGGGGAATGGGATCAAAAATGGGGCGGGGGTGTGCATGGGACTTTGGTGATGGCACACAGGTAAACTGGTGATGGGAAGTCAATGGGGATAACATCTGAGATGGAGAAAGGCACAAAATGATAGAAACAAACTATTATAATAATTAAAAAGTGAGGTCTTTGAAACACTTTTCCCACAAAAAATGGAGTTGAATTCTCTCCTTCCATCAACCTAAACTGGATAATTAAGTATCTAACAGGATAATGCTGTGAGACTTCTATTTCTTTTCCTTTTTTTTTTTTTAAAGATTTATTTATTATGTATGCATACAGAACTGGAGTATAGGCCAGAGGTGCAAGGGCAGCAAGAGGCTTCACCAGAGACAGAGTGGGGAGCAGAACAGGCAGATCAACAAACTACACTGCTAAGAGGAGCAGCGGGCGGGTCAGGAGAGGTCTGCTGCGCCATGTGGTCTCCTCCGCCATGTGGTCTCCTCCAGGGCAGGGGGGAATGGAATTCATGCAAAAGTGGCTTTAGCTTCTCAGTGCTGTGCTTTAACCTGCTGCGCCACCAGGGAGGGCCATGTATATATTCTTTTTATTTTAGAACAGGTCACTGTAGTTTTAGGTTCATCCTAAATATCCAGAGATATATATTTCTTCTCCTTTTTAAGGCATATATCTTGACAGTTTTAAACTAACAAATTATGAATCCAGTTTCCCTTAAGAGGTAGCTGAGGGCTTCCATGGTGGCACAAGGCTAAGTAAGTCTCAGCACTATGAAGCTATGCACAGTCACTGCAGCATGAGTTTAATCCCCAGCCAGGGACCTACACATATGGCACAGCATACTTTTCCTGTCTCCCTCACTGCTCCCTCAATAGTGTATTTTAGTAGACCCACCTGTTCTGCTCCCCACTTTGTTTCTGGTGAATTTTTTCACCCTCTGCACCTTTGGCCTAAAGCCCAACTCTTGTGTGCGTAAATAAATAAATAAGTCTTTTAAAGTAAAAGAAGTAGCTTAGAAGACATTGGGTATAGACAGGACAGATGCAAGAGGAATTCCTCTGCTTGAGTTGTCCAGTTCAGACAGCAGACCTGTGCTAGCAAGCCCTCAGATGTTCCTAGTCCAGGTCACTGCAAATATGTGACATCATTATAAAGAATTATGTGGTGAGCCCTTAGAAAGACCAAGTCCCTTATTCAAAGACAATTTACTCTTGTTTTACACATGATTCTGAAATTCAAGATCAGTTGTTTATGTGAAATTGAAGCTGGATCCTTTTCAGAGAAGATACACAATTCCAAATTCAAAACTTATTTCAAGTTTGCTTTATGAAAGCCAGAGTA